TTAATGGTAGTAAACCACTTTTGACAAGTCTATCTTTGTATGATACTCCTGACAAGAATGGCAGTGATAAAATGTATCTGGTGGCGCGACGTTGGACGTTTTCTACTTGAAGGATAAGTGATACGGACTGTGGTGACCAAATTTGCGTGCAATATGCCATCTGGCTTCGCACCATTGTCTTGTAAAGCGCAAGGCGGGTTTTCTCGTTGCGAATGTCCATTGATGATCTTTTAATGAAGCCGAGCATTTTGTTTGCTTTAGCACATACCATGGACACGTGCTGGTTCCATTTCAAATCGGATGTGATGATCACTCCAAGATCTTTCTGGGCATTGGTTCTCTTGATGGGAGTGTCGTACTTAAGGTGGTAGCTCGACGGCACTAGCTTCAGATTTCTGGTCACCGAAAGAACTTCACATTTCGATTGATTCAGATCCATCCGCCACAATTCACACCAATTGTTAATACCATCAAGATCTTTTTGAAGATATTGTTCATCCTTATGTGATCTAACTGGACGATAGCATTTAGTATCATCAGCATACAAAGCAATAGACGATGTAGATGTTTCCTGCGGAAGATCGTTCACGTAAATAACAAACAGTAAAGGACCAAGTATTGAACCTTGCGGCACGCCAGAAAGTACTGGGAGAGAATGTGAAGTTTTGCCAAGGACAGTTACTCTTTGGTGACGATTGGTTAAGTAGTCTTCAAACCATTTCAACAAAGTCCCACCAATCCCGAATTTCTTTAACTTTCTTACAAGTAAACGATGATCAACTCTATCAAAAGCCTTCGCAAAGTCAAGGTAGATGATGTCGGTTTGGACTCTCTTGTCGAGCTTTTCACCGATCTCTTGTAGTACTTGTAAAAGTTGGGCCGTTGTTGATTTGCCTCTGAGAAAGCCGAATTGGAGATGATGAAGGTTGATGGAAACGTGAGCTATCAGTCTAATGTACACACAACGCTCGAAAACTTTGGAGACAATAGAAAGTAAGGAAATTGGACGGTAATTAGAAACTACTTTTAATAGTCCTTTCTTTTGAATTTGTACCACGTTAGAAGTTTTCCACGCTGCAGGGATTTTCCCACATTTTAGACTAAGGTTGAAGAGATCACAAAGAGATGAACATATTTGGGAAGCAGAACATCTTAACAGTTTTGCGGGAATGTTGTCTGGACCAGTTGCTTTATTGTCGTCCAGAGAAAGAAGGATATTCTTTACTTCATCAGGGGTGATGTGTATGTCACTCAACGTTTCACTGAGAGGTATGGTGGTGATTGATGGATGATCTTCATATTCTTCTTCGGATAATGAAGGTTTGAACGTGGAGTGGAAATATTCGTTCAAGAGGTTGGCAATATCATCAGGTTCTTCAGCTGTGACGCTGTGTTCACCCTGAGACCACACCATTTTACTGGGAACATTAGAAGTGCGTGAAACGGACTTAAACACCGACCAAAACTTCTTCGTGTTGGAGATCATCAGATCTGGCAATGACTGGAAAAACTTCTTTCGCTTCCGTGCTACGAGCGTTTTAAACGAGCGACGAAGGTTTCGGAAGTGTTCTAAATGGTTAGGCTTAGATGTTCTTTTTGCTTTTCTTCGCGCCGTTTCTTTCTTTTTAAAAAGGTGACAGGTTTCGCTGTCGAGCCAAGGAGGAGTGTTACGTCTTTTCACCACTTTGGTTGGAATATGTTGCACGGCTACATCCATCAGCTTGTCTCTCCAGCGTCGCCAGACCATATTGATATCTACAACAGCACTTGGATCACAGTCGGCATTCTCTGGTGAAATATTCATAGACGAGAGACCGATATTAAGGTCTTTGCGGAGGTTTTCCCAGTCTGCTTGATGGTAATCAAACACTGATCGAGATGTTCGAGGAGATAATTTGGGATGAACATGAAAGTTAAAAAGTAGCAAGTTATGGTCACTAAACATATCGACAGATGTTGGAGATATGCAGGACAAGTCAATAACATATTCCGGGCTGTTCGTTAAAATTAGATCAAGGATATTGTTTAATATCGTCTGGAAAACGTTAACTTGTTGAAGGAAGAAATCGTAGATGAGTTCACGAAATTCGATCGCAAAAGGAGAAGGAGTTATGTCTTGAATGTCGTCTGAGTTCCATGTCAAGTCAGGAAAATTAAAGTCACCAGTTATAAGAACTTTGTCATATTGTTCACAACATGTCAGAAAGGAGGTAAAAGATTTTAACCATTCTTTGATATTAACGTTTGGTGGACGATAACAAACACTTAACAAGCATTTTGTGTTCTTAGTTTTGAGTTCAACAGCAACGATTTCGAGGTTAAGTTGATCTTTCGGGGTAATTGTGTCGTATTGTAAACCCTCGCGTAATGCCATCAAAACACCACCGCCGCGTTTTTCAATCATACGATCTCTTCTTACTATGTTGTAACCACATGGCAGTATTTCTTTATTTGAGATTGTGTCGTTGAGCCATGTTTCAGTGACAGTTATAATATCAAAATTCTCTGAGTAGACAAGATCTTGAAACATACTCAGGTTGCTTGTGGTAGATCCATCTTCATGTTTGTTTACGCTCTTAAGACTTCGAGCATTGAATGACAAACAACGTAAGGCTGTATTTTGAACAGGGCAACTGTGTGATGTTGAGCTGCAGGCAGGTCCAGGATTAGTTGCTATATCACCAGCAAGTAGAATACACAAGAGAAGGTGCAAATTACTATTCGCAATGTTAAATTGAAGGCCATATCTGTGATTAGACATGAGAGGGAAAGTAGACTTACGTAAAGTATTATCGCGCGTGGAAGACCAAAGACAACACAATCGATTTGATATTGACACTAGTTCTGGGGAAATGCTGCAGATATTCATATTCTGGGGAAATGTTCTGTCGTTGGGTTGAATTTCTGATGGTTTTGATCTTATTGATAACCAGAAAGTTAAAATGAGAAAGAAGAGATATCCAAAAACTTTATTGAGCATTTTATTGAAGGTTATTCTATTTGATTTAAACACCATTGCATAAGATAGTTGTTGCCATGGAGAGCGACGCCAGACGGGATTTAAATTTCAAAAGTTCCAACGGTCAAAAATAATTAATGTTGAATAATTCATGAACAGTACATTTAAATAACACCAAAATTATACAAAATAACCACAAAACGGTTCGTAGATCACACAGCAAGATTCGGACGAAAACGACAAACGACGACAAAGATATTGTTCATTAACCAAAATTCACAGTTGTAGCGCTATAATAATACGATGGTAATACGATCCAACAAACCAAAATAACTTTACACCAAGATACAAATCCAATTTCAAAATACGATGAGAGGATGCACAAAATCCTTAGCTTTAATTAAGTATAAAGCTTAATATAATAGCTGAGAAATTAACTGAATTTTTTTATATTTAAGCGGAGCTCGCTCAAGCGTAAACCTAACCTATTGACCCTAACTGATATTAAAATTGATTAATTTAAACACGAACTTTTGACTGCCAGTCTGCAGTCTTTGACAGGTAAACGAAGACTGCAGATTGGCAGTCGAAAGCTCGCGTTTAAATAAGATTTACGAGTTTCAGAAACTTTATTATGAATCCTGGTCGCGCATCTAGCATTTTTAATAAAAGTGGAATATATTGTAAACTACTCATCGTGCAATTCCACGTATTTGCCACCAAATACAAGATAACAGATACATTAAAAAGAGTGCTTACGTTATTTTGTCATTCGGTTAACTATCACTTGACTTGCTGCACGCATGATAGTGTTCTAAGTGAAACGATATCACAGTCGTGATGATTAAATGAAAACATATAGCTATCGGTTGCTTTAGCGAAAATACAATACACACGTAACGATGAATCGACCATTTCTTGCATAAATCAGACAAAAACATAGATAACGAGGTGTATTACTGTATGTCTGCATCGAGTTTCCTAACATTCTTATTCTATTGACTATGGTGAAACCAAGCAGTAGGTTTTTAAGCAATAGTGCTTCCACCCTGTGTAGGCCTATAGATTGCCTTGGTATTGATAATGACCGTCTGACCATGCATCATGTGTGTGTTTGGAGCTGCTACTGGATCAATCATTAACCTGATGTTTCACATTGGCATAGCCGAGGGAAGCAACGTTTGGGAAACTGGTATGAATGCTTTTCTTACTTTCACGTATTGCTGATTGTATTTCATGTGATTCATGTATATATATTATATATATATATATATATATATATATATATATATATATATATATATATATATATATATATATATATATATATATATATATATATATACATATATATATATACATTATATATATACGTTTTATGTCTGATAAAACACGACAACGAGTGTTTTGAATATCTTAAAATACGACTACAAAAGAATACTAATTAGGATGAACCATTATATAATCATACTAATGAGGATGAACAATTATATAATGCCACATGCTTTATCAGATATAAAGTCACTCCACGTGACATATTATGGCTGGACATGATTTGCCACAAGGTTTGTGAATTATTAATGATAATTGTAAGAATTTGAAAAGTGTTACAGTGACCGCGAAGTATTTTGGAAGTTAGAGGGGGGGGGGGGTACGTGAGTGAACGAAGCCTATTGTGGGCAGATCTTTTTAACCATGTATATCAATTGACTTTTTTTCTGGTTTACTTGGCGAAAAAGTGGTGGGGCCATGACCCCCTTCCTCCCTGCATGTATCAGCTGATTTTGTGTATGAGAGTAACTCGCTTTGCGTTTGACCACAACATTTAAGTTTAATCAACTTTCATTATAAGCTTAACGATTGATTCGGTCACGAGAAATAAGTGGCATGAGATATTTTCGTTTGCCATCTTAATCTTAGCTCAGCTTTATTAAAACATTCGATTTTTCTTCCAGTATTTCTTCGCATTGCGACTGCACTCGGAGTCGCTTTCCTTTATTATCCCTACTTTGGATGCTTGGCTTCATATCACAGAATTATTGGAGCGCTGATGGGGCTTCCTTACGGTGTTATCTAGTAAGTAGTTTTGAGTTTATATAGTAATACTGATCATTATTCTTGTGGCTGAATGTAAGCTGGTAATGAAGGGACACGTGATTGCTACTGTATAATCAAGCTTTCGTTGTAGGGATGCAACTACCTGAAAATATAAGGGCGACGGCCCTTCGTCGGGAAGTTAGCGGGGGTCCGGAAAATTATATGGCTTATACTAAATAAGCCAAGATATGTTGGCTTCTGCACTCTAAAAAATAGATGTGCTTAATAACACACCGACCTGTGTTATCTTACACGCCTGGTGTGCTACACTGACACACAATCAAACCTTAACACACCTTGATGTGCTAGTTAACCTATCATGGTATGTTAAAGAGCACGCCAGTGGGTTAAAAAGCACGCCTTTCAATAACACATCTTTCCGCTATTAAGCCAAACACACCTTCCGACAAAATGCGTGTGTTACTCCAGCATGTCTTTTAATTACAGCACACCTTCGAAAGGCAACACATCTTGTAAAATAGCACGCCTTGGTCAGATAACACACTTTTTCAAATAACACACCTAATTAAAATTTTTATTAACACATCTTGGGAAAACACGCCTTACGAAGTAACACGCCTTTTCAAAATAACACTCCTTCCTTAGTTAATTAACCTTTGGACACATAGGTTTTAAAATACATACATCTCTCTTTGTGACTTTTATACGTTCGCTATTGTTCATTTGTGTTAACTATAGTTTCTGTGGTGTTCACCTTGAAGCTTGAAAATTGCGCCGTAATATATTAGAATTAAAAAGCCAGCTATGTTTTTAAAGGCGAATTGGTTCATTGTAAAAACATAGGACTCCAAGAACTACATTAATATTTATCGCGAAATTAATAGATCTATCTATCAATTATGGGAAAAGATAGTATAGTTCATTCAAGAAGATTGTAATATCGGTATTTTAGCACGGTTTTGAAAAAACACAATCGGTGTGTTACATAAATATTCAAATTTTTCCCTACTAACTGACTACAAGCTTTCGACCAATAAGAACTTGCGTTTCAGTATAAAATTTTGGTTTCATGTTCCAAATTTGTCAGTCAGTGTCTGCACGGTGTCTGCTAGCGCTATTATAGAGCATATCGTTCGACCGAATGTGATCGTTTCATATAGTTTGATGCCAGAGTATGGAAAAAATGAATCCTAATATAACGCATTCATTGGTTAAGTTAAACCAAGCTTGATTAGAATAATGTTCATAGACTATTAAAATTAAAAAGGGTAGCTGCAGTGCTAGATGC